GCATGCATGCATGCATGCATGCATGTGTGTGTGTGTATGTATGTATGTGTGTATGTATGTATGTATGTATGTATGTATGTATGTATGTATGTATACGGTTTTCTGAATGCCCTTTATAAGAGCAGAGATACCCTGTGAAGAGAGCACCAAGTCACATATGCGGAAGGATGATGGACACGAGGCCATCCTCTCCAAACAGGAGCTTTCAATCCTTCAGTTCCCCACCTAAGGAATGACTCATATCCTGTTTCCAGCTACTGTAGAAGCCTGAGCAAATGCATAGACTATTTCAGTACAGCCCGTTGCTATGACCTACCATAGCACACTGAGGTTCAAAACTCCTTTTGAAAGTTCTTCGGGCCCCAGTTGTGCAAGAGCCGAGGTTCAAGAAGCTTCGAATGTGGCCCGAGGCCGTGGAGTGCTTGATCTGTGCCGAGCGAAATGTGGAGGCTGAGGACATGGTGAAGGCCGGCTGGCTTCAGGGTTTACGTGCTGGCGCTTAGTAGGAAATGGGAGATAATCCCTGTATACATAATGTATTCCGTTTTTCCTACTAACCCCCACTAAGTTTAGGGTTTGAGCCGGGTTTAGGGTTTAGGGCTCGTGGAGGCCTAGCTTGAAAGTTCTGGTGACGGTCCCATGCCAAAGATTGCCAGAGCATTCAACAGCTGAGTCCGTTCTCTGTAGTTTATCACAGGCATGGATTGTTGCTTGTTGGGGTTAGTAGGGTAGGGAATAAGGGAGGGAATACAGTTTATACGGGTTATACAGGGATTATAATTCCGTTTTTCCCGACTAAGCAGCAGAAAGGTTGTTAGTGAAAGGTTCCAGAGGGAAACTTGAAACACGGGTAAAGGTTGTTCACAGCTTCTCAAAAATCTGCAAGAGCGCTAGCCGCTGAAGAGTTGTCTTTCACAACAGATACTCCACGCATTCTATAGTAAGCACTAAAACCCCAAACCCAAATCATTGCTTGCATGAAGTTTCTCCGGCCTTCATCCCAAGAATCCATGTAGTTCCCTACTAAGCACCAGTAGTACTAGCTGAGTGGGGCATCCTTAAACTCCAAAACCCAGAAGGTTAAATCCTGAAAAGCACAACCCCTCGTCGCAAACGCGAAGCCCTAAAACCAGAATCCCGGAACCCCAATCCTTCGCCCAGACAGAGCCTCAATCCTCAACCTTCAATTCAACCGCAACCCGAATCTCTACCCCTTGTTTCTTTCGGCTTCCTCCGAGCGTACTTTTGAGGGGTCCTGAAGTCAGCTTATAAAATTGGCTTTAGACTTCTTTTGTAAGCCCATTTTAACCCGTGATACCTGCGCAAGTAGGTTTCCTAACCCATTAGTAACCCCAGGGTCCCGCAAGATACACCCAACCCTAGACCCCACACCCTAGATATTCCTAAGGACAGAACCTGGTTTTTCGTGTTATTTTCCATGTGCTTTTCCATTTCATGTTGGGCTATTGCCGCAATGTCACCCCAGAGTCCCACAAGATGGCCCTAAACTGTTTGATAAGCTTGTAGATGCCATTCCCTTTCCATTTCCTATAATAAATAAGCCTGGATTATAGTCCCCCTTAAGTAGATAGAATATGGGGTATATGGGGATCTTATCAGAATATACCCAAAGCCATATTCGATCTACTTAAGGGGGACCATAAACCCTAAACTCTAATCCCTAATCCCTAAGTGCAGGAGCTTATTGACAAACAACCTTCAGCTCGACTCTGGTGTTGCCTGGGAGACATCACCAAGGATCCGGCACACTACGAGAAGGCACAAGGGGACCTCCAAACCGGTTTTCGGGGTATAGTCCCCCTTAGGTAGATGGAATATGGCTTTGTGTATATTTCAATAAAATCCCCAGATACCCCATACTCTATCTACTTAAGGGGGACTATAGGTCTTTGGACTTAAGGATTTAGTCATGTAAATCTATAAGCTAAACCCTAGCCCAAACCCTAAACCCTTAGGTTCAGGCGGTTTAAGTCTTAGGGTTTGGGTTCGAGGGTCCAGGGGTGGTGAGGGTTTAGGGCTTGGGTCATCTGATGACAGCTGAGTGGGCCCAAACCCTATATAACCCCCAAACCCTACACCCTATAAATCCTATATTTTGATATCCATATATACTCTTTTTTCCTCGATGTAAATGAAAGGTACCCCTAATTTTGGGAAACCCCCATGTGGTATGTTCAGGCCTGGGAGGTCTCGAAGAAGCGTTTTGCGCGGGCTCAGCGAGCACTGGGCAAGTACTACTTCGAGAAGAACCTCGTCTGTAGGGTTTAGGGTTTAACCCTGGTATTCAGATTTCCGACAAGGGCTATGTACCGCTCTTGCGCTTCGTGGCAACAGTGGATCTCACATAGTGATAAGTCCTTGAGGACGTTTAAAGGGTCCTTTGATCTTGCGCGAGGGTATCTGATGTGGAGCATCTTTTTCGCCGAATTAGGCTAGACAGAGAATCATTACATGAGGATTACGCAGGGAAGCTGTTCATGCTCAAGGCTTTGGGCTTTATCATCCCATGGAACTGGCTGCTCCCCAGATACTAAATGTTGGCTGTGTGGTAGGGTAGGAGCGGCTTTTGGAATTCAAAGACAGGATGACATTTTTGAGCCTCTAGATTTGGGATGGCGGGCTTGGACCTACTTTTGAGGACATCCAGGCATCCTTAAGTTTGCAGTCCAAAACCTTGCCTAAAACCTAAAACCCTAAGCTTTGACTTAATATAGAAGCCTGAATAAATACCGATACCTTCCCCTTGTAACTCTAGCACTCCCAAGACAGTCTTCCCAATTCTACAGGCCCCTACATTAAGCTTTGCGGTTGAGCCCCTAAATCCTAAACACTAAGCCCTGAAACCTTTAGCCCTTTATCCTAAACCCTGAAACCTAAACCTAAGCACTAACCCTAAGCCCTGAATCCTAAGCTGAAGCCCAGGAAGCAACTGGCAAAGGCCGTGGAGTCCTTCAAGTTGGCCTTAGTCACTTGTTTTTTTTCGTGATGTTGAGGTTGGTTTGGGCTTATGATATTATGCAAGTAACTTACTACCAGGGTCTTGAGGGGATTCAGGGTTTTATTTGGGCTTGTAATATGATACTAGTAGGGCCTTGAGGGGATTCAGGTGTTATTTGGACTTATAATGTGATACTAGCAGGATCTTAGGGGGATTTAAGGTTTTTAGGCGTGTAAGGGTCTGGACTTTGTTCAGGTTTCTCTGTAACAGTTGGATAGGAAATGATAGTATATTGAGATACATAGCCCTTAGTATTACCACCCATTACAGACTGTGACTGGGTGGGGGCAGTCACCCACTTGTAATGTACCAGTAGGGCCTTGAGGGGCTTTTAAGGTTATGAGGGTTTTGACTTTTGACGTTTCAGAGGGTTGTCTAGTCTTGGGGGAGTGTTTTAGATTTAGTTTGGCAGAAAAGGCTGAGGCTTGAGGATTAAGGCCAATCCCAGTGCTCCTGGTGTAGATAGATGTAGATAGAGTATTCGGCTCAACAGGAGACACTGCAGCCATGCATCGAAACTATGTAGACATGGCTTTCGTGCTTCCGTGCGGAGAGCTTTTAGAAGGAAAGGGTGTGCCTACGTAATCCAAGAGCAACATCTCCTCGTCCCCTCTGGCAAGGAAGAAATAATGTCGCGTTGTCGTTGGCTTTTTCTACGAGCTCCCTTGTGTGTTGCTACTGCCACTGCCGCTACTAATTATTTCCTTCCCGGAACCTCGCAATGCCTTGGCCGGCTGCGGGCTTTAAATTGAAGGCCAGGGGTCTCATAGTTGAGAACCGACTATTAAAGCGAGAAGCCCGGCTAGACGCTGAGTGGCAAAAGAGTAGAATTCGAGGAGCCCTCTTTTGACCGCTAACTCCAGAAACCTCAAGCCAGTCCCTGAAAAGCTGAGGACATCAACCCCATGTTCGAGGGCATTTGGTTCACTTTAGGCCCCGGTGCGGATTGTGGATTGATGGGTTAGGGGTTCGTGCTTCCATACCTTCTCGTTGGTTTCCAAAAATAGTGCTTGCTGTTTGATAGTCATGCTAAGCGCTGCTCAGGGCTCATCCGTTGATGTGCAGTTTTTTCGGCGAAGAGGTGAGTGTTCACAAGACGTTCCCTTTTTGGTGGCCCGACGGTGAACTTTTCCATCTGTGATTCCCAATTCAAGAATGTCAGCAATCTCGGAGGGGGCGCCCTATTAGGGATACCTGTATTTAAGGACTCCCTAAAGATGACACCCTGTTAGTCTGCTGAAGACATGGTCTGTGATTAGGCAACTTCATTCTGTTGACGTTCAGCTGTAGCGAGACGATTTGAATCAAAAACCCAGCGTGACCTTGTCATGCAAAAGTGCCTTCATTTCCAAGGTGTAAGATACTTAAACCAAAAGGCAGTTGATATTTCTGTCCCTGTAAGATTGCGACAAAGGGGATGAGTCCTCAATCCTCGCTGTTTCTGGGTGTACACGGGGTTCCTGTGGAATGAACATTGTCGTGTGTCAAGACTTGGCGTCCGCATTAGGGGGACTGTAAAAGGAAGCTCTACCATGGAGAAGATATTCGCTGAAGCCCTATGAAGACCCTCAGCCTTTTTATTTCGCATTTGGAGCTGCGTATAACCGGAAACGTACTACTACCTCTTGTTTTGCAGTAAAAAAGCCCAACGCCCGGTGATGATCCTGCTTGTCCTTCAGTGGGGCAGATCTTCAAGATTACCCCAAAAATTCGTAACAGGGCCCCATGTGTGCCCGATGTGTTGCGAAGGTCCACAGTACCCCTCAACCCTATACCCTATACCCTAAACCCTCAAACTACTCTACATGCGATGCACGTGTCTATACCCTGAACCGGCCCTGAGCCCTCTGGGAAAGACACTTTGGGCAGGGGTGGGCCTGATGCAGCTGGAGCGTATGGATGAAGCCATGGTGGCCTTCTCCCGAATCTTCGGCATCAATGTGAGATTTTTGGGGTGTTGTTCGAAAGGTCCTTGTAAAGAAGGGACCATTGGGAAGACACTTCCTTAAAAGGGGAGCTTAACCAAACAGGGAACCTACATTATGGACATTTTGGGGACATGTATTCTGAACACCTACCATTTATGCTTTTTGCAGCTTGGGGTTCCTGATCATTTGTCGATCTGAAAGCAGAATCCCCCGCATGCAACATCCCCGCGTCGTTTTGAAGGCTGCGGGTTCAGATCTAGGTTGCTGCTGGATCAGGTAGGATGCACTTGGGGTTGTGCTGAGATGTTTTCAGGGGTGTATGGGGAGATCGGAGGCGCAGGGCATGATCGGCTTTCTTGTGGTTGCAATTGCCCTTCCCGCCGAAAATCAAGCAACCCCCCTCTCCCCTGACGTTGAAAACTCTGTCTGCAGCCGCCCATCTACATGTACATGTACATGGTCTCGTTTGGTCATTCAACATGCCTAGACTAAGAGGGTGTTATTTAACATAGGGACCAGGGGATATAGCCCCCCTTGAGTAGATAGACTATGGCTTTGGGTGTATTACTATAAGATCCTCATATACCCCATATTCTATCTACTTGAGGGGGGACTATAAACCCTAAACCCCAAATAGTAGTTTCCATTTTCTTTTCCATTATCCCAATCTAACTCATATATAACCCCCTATATAACCCCATATTCTACTTAAGGGGGGACTATACGTAGATGCCATTGCCCAGGAGTGCTGTCCATCAACGACGAGGAGGGACTTGTTTGGGAGCTTCTCTCCTTAAGCATGGGGGGCTGGCATATCGTGCAGACTAAGGGTTTAGGGTTTAGGTGTTAGGGCAGTGTTACGCAAGCAGAACTTAGAACTGCTATAGTAAAAGTCGATATCGTGCTTCATAGCAGTGATAGTAGCCAGGAACTGAAGCCAATGTGAATACGTGCGGATCATGAGAAGGTAATACACAAAGCCCTGCTTAGAGGGTCATGGGGACTTAGTAAGTAGGCTAATAACGGGGAACCTGTGGTTATTATGTAGCTTATAGGGTTTATTAACCTACTTGCTAAATTCCCATGACCCTTCAAGTAGCCTTGCAAAACGAGATGGCTAAACTCAGACTCCCTGGATGCACCCCAAGATGGTTTGGATCCTTTTTGTGGGGAGCCCCAGAAACTGGACAACATAGTTGACCCATCCTTAGCCCTCAACCCTTTACCCTAAAATCTAAACCCTTAACTCTAAACCTTCAACCATAAAATCCTTAACCCTGAACCCTAAAATCTGAACCCTTACCCCTGCACCCTTTACCCTAAAACCTCAACCCTTGAACCCTAAGCCCTGTTCCCTAAACCCCACACCCTAAACCCTCAACCCTAAATAGTAGTTTCCATTTTCTTTTCCATTATCCCTGTATAAGCCCAATAGAACACCATCATAACCCTAATATAACCCTAAACCCTTAACCTTAAGCCTTATACACCCTTAACCTCAAACCCTGAACCCTTAACCCTTGACCGGGTTCCCTTGCGCAGGATGGCCAGGCGTGGGCAAACCTCGCCGCTGTACACCTTCACCAAGACCCTGGGTTACCTCTTGGGCTTAGGGTTTAGGGTTAGATCCCTGGAGTCTCCGTAGGACTTGCTTTCATTATTTGTTTATGTTGGGGCTTTATTGGGATAAGGCAAAATAAAGTGGAAACTATTATAGTCTACTATAATGGGCTTAAGGGTTTAGGGCAGTAGGGTACCTCATGGGAGCTATAGTCACTATAGTCCCCAAAACTAACATGGAAACCGATACAGTCCCTTTTGGAAGGACTGTAGTCTTTGTAGGGCCCTTTTTGGGTTGCCATGTTAGTTTCCGCGGTTGTATAGTCTATAGGTTTGGGGTTTAGGGTTTAGGGTCTAAACTTCAACTATCCCCCTTAGAAGCCCCCGTAATAGGGTTTAGGGTTGAGGGATCGTCGAAATTCCTAGTATCCCCCATAGTGATCCTCATAGTACTCCCCTATAAAGCCCCCTATATACCCCCCCCCCTTTTAGGAGGTCAGACTATAGCCCATGGTGCTACCACGGGCCCCACCCAGTGAAAAGAGCCCCACAAATTAAGGACTTTGCTCTTGAGAGTAGTGAGGACTATTGGGGCTGGTCCTATGGTCACTCAGAAATTTCTCTATATTGCCTTCACCTTCTCGAGGAGAGTTGCAAGTTGTCATCATGTGCGTACTCTTAGAGAAGGCTTATGATCCTATTCTTATAGCTGTCATATAGCTCCATTACCCCTGTACCAGCCTTATGTGAGCTTTATATGGGGTTCCCAGCCGGTACAGGAACTACCCACATGGGGTGTCCTTGACCATCCTATATGGAAAGCCGGTCTACATTTAGGATCCTACGTCCTAGCTGCAGTCATAGCAGCTCTACAGCAGCCAAGGATCGCGTGAAGGAGGCTCGTGCGTGTATGGTGGAAGCCACACGGAGGCACGTCACTTTGCCGGCACCCTGCATGTTTGAGGGAGTTATGGGCTTCTTGGTAGTTGTAACGATGAGCACAGTGTCCCATTTCTCATAAACAAAGAGACCCACTTCTTTCTGATTTGAGAGTCCCAAATTCTTCAACTGGTTCAAAATCGTGGATCACGACATCCCAGACTCCACGTCTAGCTAGATTTCTGCATGTTTCCCATACAAAGCGAGCAGGTGCCGCCAGAATTGGCGAATGTGGGCGCTTTGGCGGGAGAAGTTAATTTGGGGTTTCTCGAGTATCTGCAATCTGAAGCACCCAGGGATGATCCCTTCCCCCTCATGTTCAACCACCTTCTAGTATTGAAGCGGTTTAGGGCTTAGGGTCCAGGGGCTTAAACATCCTGAAGAGCACGTTGGGGATTATCTAGGAACATTCTGAGAAACCGCCATGTCATAACGTAGGAGCTTCTCGAATTCATGGTCGCCTTTGATCTGATCTCTCGGTGCTGTATGACTCCGACCCCCCAGTTGGGGTCCTGTCCTGGGGGTCGAGTGTACCCAAATCTTCTTGATACATCAGACCCTAAGCTGCCTCGCCCAGGAGAGCTTCCAAGGCATTTGCCTCAAGTCCCGGCCCAAGCTGCCTTGAGAAGTTTCTGTGGTAGGGTAGATGTATGTAGACTTGCCCCCCAACAGGGCTAGCATTTGACCACGCCCATGGGCCGTGATGCTTGCCAGCCCGGTGTGGGTTTCCATGCAGGTCCCTGGCAACACCATTGCTTGTCCCTAATTACCCATGTAGAGATACAGGTTCGCGGAAACGATCAGTCGTGCACAGAGGTCACACTTCTAGCTTCCATGTCTGTTTCGCAGCAGTGTACTCCATGATGGAAGTTGTCACATGCAACTGGGGCAAGAAGAAAGTTGCGATACCTTCCAGCCCAAACATTGATCCAGTGGGCACTGCAGGTCCTTGTGTTGTAGGTGGTCAGAAATGTAATCCCTGAAACAAGGCTTCGTGACATTAGCGGCGTGATTCAAGCCCTGCCACTCGCTTGCAACCATGCACGAAGGATCATCGCCGCTGGACAACATTTTCCAGCATCGGCCCACGTGAGTGGGGTTTCTTTTTGCTGATCAAGAATCTACGAATTAAACAGTATGCCTGACTCACGTGATGGTTGCATGTGGAAGCCAAGGCGTCGCTTGGTGGAGCTTGACCAGATAGGGCGCGTGAAGCGGCAAATCCTGGGCATGGTTACACAGGCACTGATTTCACACGCAGATCCTCTCGCTTCAGCGCCTGCTGACCATCTTCCTCTCTCCCTCTCCCTCTCCCTGTCTCTCTCTCTCTCTCTCTCTCTCTTCTCTCTTGTCTCACCTCCCTCCGCTTTCATGAACTGTGGACAGTGGCACTGGGCCGGCTTCCCGTAAGAGCCCCTTCAGCCAGAAATGAATTTGGCCAGACCGTTTCCTTGCCTACCTGTCTTTGCTGTGTATCCGGAGGCGTCTTGGTAGTTTCCAGATGTT